TGTGTGTGTGTGTGTGTGTGTGTGTGTATTTGTATGTGTATGTTAGACCAGTTTAAGTGTTTATGTAGTATGTTAGACTAGTTTAAGTGTTTATGTAGTTAATAAAGTCTTACTTGTATCACACTTGACGTTGTTCATTGTTTGCTCATAACTGGAGTCACTTAATCATGCAGATTTATGCTACAAGCTCTGTGTAGAATTGTACAGTAAGAAAGTTATTTCCCTTAACCAGGAAATTAACGTTCTTAGAATTGACAGACAGTTGACCCTGAGAGGTCAAGTAAATATCTACAGCGGATCTAAATATTTATAATTAATTATAACTAGTTATGATTAATTATTCATATTTCCCCATGAGCTGATTCGCTACAAAGTAGAGAGTAAAGTTATGGTAAAATGCAATGAATGATATCAGACGGTACTGAGGTACTTGAGTATTAGTTTAACACCATGCTTGTTGCATTCCTTCACTCCACACCAGGTATCACCTACTGCCATCTTTAGTCATTGTCAGGCCTGTACAGGTACTTCATCACAAGATTGTCCACTTTCTTCTTCCTCTTCTTCTCCTCTTTCTTGGACAGTGGAGGAGGTCCTTCAGAGGGGCCTTCAGGCTCCAGCTCTCCCTCAGAGCCTGAGGCCTGCCTGCCAGGGGCTTTCTTGATACTGCTGGAGCTTCTGTAAGAAATAGTGGATGCTCCTGAACTGGAGTCCGACTCTGTGCTAGACTCAGATGCCGAGGATGAGGAAGAAGACGAAGACTCTTTCTTGGACTTCTTCTTGGACTTCTTGCTCTTCTTCTTGGAGCTCTTCTTCTTGCGGTCATCATCAGAGCTGTCTGATTCCGAGCTGTGGCTTCTCTTCTTCTTCTTGCTCTTGCCCTTCTTGCTGCGGCTGCTGCGTGTGCTAAGGCTACTGCTGGAACGCATAAAGTTCACGGCTGAAGCAGAACGGCGCAAGCTGGAGGAGCGGCCACTGTCTCTGCCAGTCCTGGAACTGCTGGCACTCTTCCGGTCATGCTCCTCCTCACACGGTTTATCTTTCTCCGCTTCAGATTCTTCCAAGCTGGTGCGCTTGAACTTGATAGGTTTGAAGCTTAACACTTCATTAATGGCGGCCTCCAGGTCAGGGTCCAGGTAGTTGCGGTGACTGACCGGCTTGACGTCCGAGACGTCAGGCGGGCTGGAGTCAGTAGTCCGGGCTTGTGGAGGCATGGAGAAGCTTCGGCCGGAGGTTGAGTGAGGGCTGTAAGCGCTGGAGCGAGCCTCGCTGAATGCTATGCTTTGGGCATCATCATCCATGTCAAATTCACTGAGGCGACAGCTGCGAGACAGCGACATGCGGGAGTCGGCGCGGCTCACACTGCCTGGGCTGCGGTGGCTCAGGCTGGGGCTGATGGCTGAACCGTATTCACTCTGGCGGTCGTCAAGACGAGGCATGCTCCGACGCCGGCTTACTGAACTCATGCGACTCACGCTGGAAATAGCATCGTCATCTAGGTCCATCGCAGTACGGTGGGTGGAAACCCGGCTCGGGGCTACAGAGGACACAACGGACTCCTTATCGAACTCCGACCAGTGGCTGTCCATACCCTTCCTTGCCCGACTGGCCGCTTCCGAGTAGGCCTGATAGATGACAGAACCCCGATCATCAAGATCATCTCCTGCCTTCCTCCAGGAGTTGACAGAATAGGAGTCATCCTCAGCTTCCTGCTTGACTTTGTACTTGCGGAAGGTTGAGAGGTCCTGGGAATCAGATTGTTCTTTGAGGGTGTTGAGGAGTGAACTCTCGTCTCCCTTACCTCCAATGGAGTCCTTCATGTTGGAGCGTTTCCTGTAGCTGAGGGAACTCATGACAGACACAGGCCTGCTGGATTCTAACTCTTTACCTTTGCCACTGTCTTTCCATTCTTTACCCTCTTCCCACTCTTTTCCCTCCTTTCCGTCAACATTTACAGCAAATCTAGATGAAGGAGGGGCAGAGAGGGTGTGCACAGAGTAGAAAGACAAACAGAGAGAGGAAGGAGAGGATAGACATGGAAATATGAGAATGAGAAAATACATGAATAAAAACTTAAAAGATGACTGACACCCAAAGAGAGAAATAACAGTAGAGGTTTATCCAAGCAGACAGGGCAGAATATAAATGAAAGTTTGATGTGACAGCATGGAATAGAAGGCACTTAAGGAAGACTTGAGCTTCTGTGATTCAAAATCAATAGTTAATCCATAAACTCAGGTTATCTACATATAAATATGGACATAAAGATCCTTTTAGGCAGAAATCTTACAGGTAATTGCATAAAAACGGGTACTGACAAAGACTCTAACTTCTTTACGGGATGATTTATGCTAGCAAATGTTAATAAAAAAATTTACAGACTGTAATCTGGAGCCAACTTCCCATAAGACTGCACCTCACAGATATGATTAAAATGATCAAAATGATTGCCTCAAAAGTTCTCAAGGTTTTAAAAAGGTGCAAGAACCTCAAGAGTCAAACTTAAATCTTCTGGTAAAAAGAAAAAACAGGAAAAATCGAAAGTGTCCGCCGGTGGGAAGACCTATTCATCTTCAGCAGAAAGGCACAGGTAGGCATGCCAACTGGCCAATGGGCATATCCATTAATCTGCCTGTGAAGCCGTTCCCTTTTATACAAGCCTCTGTTGTCAAACTGCTGACAATGGGGAGAATAAGCTAGACAATACCAACAGAAAAATCCCTTAGCGCTTGCTAATTAGCTTTTCCAAACACCTTTTTCTTGCTTGCTGCATTGAGTTCGGGTTAAACCATTCTGTGGGGTAACGGGGGAAATTACGTTGCAGGACTGACCTTGAGCTCTTCAGACTACCATCATCTGACATGTTCTTGGCAGAGCCCTTGTTTTTGGACAGCCATGACTTCACCCCGTCAACACGGTCCTCCACCTCAGAGTCGGTATCAGAGGCTCCCTCGCTGTGCAGGAGGAAAAGAGGGAATGTCAGCAAAATGAACAAGCAGAATCTGTACATAAATACTGTTAGTAGGAGGAACACAGGGATTTATGGTGGAGGCACAACAGTATGGATACATGCGCCCGATCTCTAGAAACCTGGAAAAGGCCTCTGTGTTAGTAAGTCAGACTCATTGTCCAACAACAGTATCCTGCAGCTTGCTGGCTTTGTTTAATGTGTGAAGCATCCAAAAAGGGTGAGGTCAGTACAACTCCAAGCCAAACCAGAAGAAAGGACAGCATTGAAAAGAGAAAAACCATTCAGACTGTAGCTTAGCAGACAATAGCTCTGCTCCAAAATCTAGCTGGCTGCCGGCGAAGGCAGCATTTTAAAGGCCGGGACACACCAATGGCGAGCGACGGCTGGGCTAGTTTGTTTGGTGTGTTCCACTCGTCGGCTCTCGTCGGGCTCATGTCGGCGGCAGTTTGCCCGATTCAACATGTTGAATCGGCGTCTGGGACGTCGGCACGAGTGAGAGCTCTGTTTGGATGTTCAGTTTAGCGAACGAGTCAGTGCCCGAGAATTAAAGTGAAAGTGATGAAAACAAGTACGTAAATGAAGGCGGTACAGACAGAAGGCTGTTTAAATGTTACGTGATCTTTCCCAATCATTCTAATGCGCGAATGTTTTCATAACAACATGAGCCACTTAAAATTATTAAAGTTATCAACGTTACTGATATTCAAAATGGTAAGCAAGTGCTGCTTTGTTTATGTTTCGTATATCTGCGTTTATCTTGTATATCTTTGTTTTGGTTTCTCCTTTTGAATGATGAACATATACTATTGATAACTGCTGATATAGACAGTTAATTCCTCTCACGCATGCGCAGAATGCACGTGCTAGTTTGCCGTCCGCTGTAGTCTGTGCGGTGTGTTCGAGCGCAGCTTTTTGGTCCGACGCTGCCGACGTGAGGCGACAACACCATCGGCTTTTGTCGCCACTAGTTCTTTGAAGTCGGCTTGGTGTGTCCCAGCCTTCAAGTCAAGTTCAAGTTCAAGTTGAGCTTTATTGTCATTCTGCTGCATGTGGGGACATACAGTGGAACGAAAGCACACAGCCTTGTGGGGCACCTGTGCTCAGTGTGGTAGTGCTCGAGGTGTTGTGGCCGACACGGACTGACTGAGGTCTTCCAGATAGAAAGTCCAGGATCCAATTACAGAGGGAATTGCTAAGGCCCAGCAGGTTTAGTTTATTGATGAGCTGTTGTGGGATTATTGTGTTGAATGCTGAGCTGAAGTCGATGAACAGCATTCTAACATAGGAGTCTTTATTTTCTAGGTGGGTAAGAGCCAGGTGGAGGGTGGAGGAAATTGCATCGTCTGTAGAGCGGTTTGGACGGTATGCAAACTGGAGCGGATCGAGTGTGTTGGGGAGGCTGGTTTTGATGTTGTGCATGACTAACTTCTCAAAGCACTTCATCATGATTGGAGTCAGTGCTATGGGACGGTAGTCGTTTAGACAGGACACAGGTGATTTCTTTGGTACCGGTATGATTGTTGTGGATTTGAGACATGTGGGGACGACTGCCTGGCTCAGCGAGGTGTTGAAGATATCTGTTAGGACATCTGTCAGCTGTGCAGCACAGTCTCTCAATACACGGCCAGGTATGTCGTCAGGACCCGCAGCCTTGCGTGGGTTAATCCTAGATAGGGTCTTCCTAACGTCAGCTGGGGACAGACAGAGCGCCTGGTCGTTGGGAGGTATGGGCAGTTTTTGTGCAGGTGTGTCATTCTGCACAAAATCTTGACAGGTGTGTCATTCTGCAAAAAAGACTTAAGGGATCATTAACATGCTCCTGATTTGAGGTGTACCTATTTAGGCAGTGGGCAGCTAACTAGCCACTGAAACAGCTGAAAAGCTGAATTTATTATAAAAATACTGTGATGTATAGTTGAAGTGTATAATTGTAAAGCACTTTGGTCAACTCTAAGTTGTTTTAAACCGCGCTCTAGAAATAAATTTGATATTGACATTGAATAAAAACTGAATTAGGAATTACAGGTAGTGCAAAGCTTGTGAAAGATCCTCCTTTACAAAAAGAAGGCCTTCAGGCTAATTAGCCTTGGACTACCATGTTAAAGGATGGTATGAAGGAACGGGCCATTTTGGGACTGCAATTAACTTGACTCACCATGCTAGCAATACCATGCATCTCTGGATACAAATGGGTTTTGTGTGGAAGTGTTGCCCTGTCAATAAGAACGATTAAACACAGGCTGAATGTCCCTGGGAGCAGATGCATTAACACCTTGCACGGAAAGCAGCGCTGTGAATCCCAGTCCTGTTTGCTCATTTCTCTGGACCAGATAAAACCATTGGATTTATGTTTGGCTGGATTTGCAAGTCAATGCTTCCCTGCCTCTTTAGATTAGTCTTATCCTTCACTTATCGCATAGCACACCGTATTGAATAACTATGAATCGCCCTTCAAGGACCTAGAGTGCTAAAACGTCTCCATATATGCACAAACAGGAGACCTTTAAAGAAGATATTGTGATGGCAAATTACATACTGGGCCTTTTTTTTCACAATTTTGCTTCTATTAAAATGTTAATAATCATTGTTATTGTCCTCCAGCACCGTAGGAGTCAAATATCTCCCAATGAAATTATACTACATACAGTAGCTCATTATCGGAGGCGTAGGGAGAAGGTTAACTCTGAAGCAGCAGCTGCTTTTCTCTGACATTAGGGTTCCAGTCTGCTTAGCTCTCCATTTGTGGTATTATGCATATGAGAATATTATATATGCATGGACCCACGAGATAGCACAGATGTCACTAAACACTAACTGTACGCTCACAGTCAGGGTGCTGGAGAGGGTCTAAATGAGAAGATCTGATACACTCAAGCGAATACACTCAGGACAAAAGAATTTGTTGTCAAATGAGCGCTCCGCCGATACGGGCAGGCAACTTACGAGTGCCAGAGTGTGTATTTCTTCAAGAGCCCTTTTGGCTCTTGTGTAAGCCCTAGTGCCCTGAAGGTAAACTGAGTTGAGAACGTTGTGTGAATAAGCCTTGAGCTCTGCTAGCCGGCCCATCGCTAAACAGTGGGACAGCAGGGTCTTTGTAATGAAGCGCTAATGCAAAATGTCACACACAATTTATGTCCTTGACCATATACCATTAGTTAAGCTGCACCTAAGCCCAGGGGAACAAACAAACAACACAGTGAGAGAGGAGAGACATTAATTGTCTGTGACAACGTGCCTCCATTGATTGTACATCTCTGTTACAAGCTATTACATTTATCATTACCACCTACAGAATTCTCTCAACCCCTCTATTTTCCTTCCCAGTCTCTATCTCTCTACTCCATTTTCTCTCTCTATCCCCACTCGCTCTTCAGCCCTGACCCTTAAACGGGGAGAATTTGGACTTTTATATTCTGCAACAGTTTGTTGGCTTGTCTCTTGACTATTTCTTTACCAATTGTATATGAACTTAAAACATGTCAAACATCTGTCTAGAATCGGTCTAAAAATGAAATAACTGAGGGGAAAAACGGAATAGTTCCTAAAATTGAATGAATGTTATGGTTATTATTTATTCTCATGTCATTTCAAACCAACATGACTATCTTCTGTGAAATTCAAATAGTTACATTTTTCAATACAATGAAAATGAATAGGAACTGGGGCCATTAAGCTGAAAAATGACAAAAAAAAAGAACAATAAAATTGTCATTAAAGTTACAAAAATACAACTTGGGTACAATATTCAACATTCTAAATCTTTTGAAATCATGATAGTTTTGTTTGATGAATAGACAGCATAGGCTAC